AGTCATGCAGGTCAGCTACTTTCTTTATTTCTCTCTTTCTTTTTCATCCGTCCTTCTTCGTCAAATTTATTTTCGGTTTATTTATTTTGTGAATTTTTTTGGAGACTTGTGCGCGCGTGTGTTCTTCATAAAATATTAGTAAATTAGAGGTCCGATCATGGTAAGCCACGCTCAAATTTGTGATGTTTAGCAGAAGTGCAACTATGCTATTCTTAGCCATGCAAGCAGTATCAGTAGGTTCCTCGTCACGTCTAGTTTCTTATACAAATAATCTACGTGGAGATAATAATTTTAATATAGCTATGAATAGGATAAAGGCCGTTTCTTATCTTTAGACTTAGAGAAGTACAGGAACAATATTTGTAATGCATGATACTAGTAAACACTTTTGCCAGATCCGTGCACGCATGCAGGGTGTGTGTGTGTGTGTGTGTGTGTTTTTTTCCTTCCTCGGTCATTTTTTTTATCTCTATTTTTCTCTTCGTCTTATTATTTTCCGCGAGGTCACAGTTCGGTTTTTTGCTCAGGGGAGGTATGTTAGGTGCCTCCTACCGTACAATCTTACCTACAACCTTCCCTAAGCTGGGCGGCCTGCATGCACTCGTACTACGTCATACTCAACTTTCGTTCCGTTGGCCTGGGTAGCTATTTGCGCGCCTATGTTTGCCATAGCTACCCAGGCCCTTTATATTACGTTGCTTCTCTCTTCAACTCTCTCTCTCTTCAATAAGTTCGCTCTCTTCAGATAATCTCTTTCTCACTCTTCAATGTAGTCGTTCGGTTCGTCCTGGTCTCTTGTCTCGTCGTCTATAATAAATGTCGTTCTATCAACCTACCTGTTCCCGTTGTCAGTTGTGTTAGTGAGTAAGAAACCTCTCTTCTTCGGACCCAACATAAGGAGTCAGGAGGGTACCTGCCAAGGTGATCCCCTCGCCATGGCGATATATTCGGTCGCCATGATGCCATTGATAGACAAGCTGTCAGAGTGCTGCCCCGGCGTGGTGCAGCTATGGTATGCTGATGACGATGCTGGTGGCGGGCAGCTCCTCAATCTAAGACAGACCTGGGATGGGATTCTGGAGCATGGCCCTGGCTATGGATACTACCCTAACGCGAGCAAGACAACACTGATGGTCTAGGAGCAGCATTCGGCCCTTGCGCTCCAGCTTTTCAGGGAAACGGGCATTCGTGTTGTGACCGAGGGTGCTCGGAATCTTGGCGGCGGACTAGGTTCATTAGTCTTCTGCGAGGAGTACATCACAGAGTAAATCAACAAGTGGACGCTGCAAGTTGAGTGCCTGGTGGAGGTGGCCGCCACTCAGCCACATGCAGCGTACGATGTGTTTGTGAAGGGCCTGGCGTCAAGTGGCGGTACCAATTGCGTGTCCTGTCTTGCCCTGAGAACCTTCCGGTCCGTTTCGACGCAGTCATTGCGACCAAGCTGCTGCCAGCGCTCAGCGGCCATTCCTGTTCGGATGAGCCGGCACTGAGAAAGCTGCAATCGCCGGTTTGGTGGCATGGCAATCCCTGTGCCCTCGGTGGAGGCCGAGAAAGAGTTTTCTGCCTCCAGATGAATTATGGCTCCTGTGGCTTCCTGCGTAAGACCCGCAGCACATCCAACGAGCACCAACGACATTGCCCTAACAGACCAGCTGAAGGAGGCAATAGCCCTCAGCCGGCAGGAGGTAAGGCGTATTCGGAGTGAGAGAGCTACCCGAGCCACGGGTCTTGTTAACGAAATACGCCCGGATTTGACAGCAACACTGGTGTTATCCATGGAGACTGCCGCGGAAAAGGGCGTATCGTCTTGGGTAACGGCGGAACCATCATCCCCAATGCAGATGGTGCTCAACAAATCAGATTTCCGAGATGCATTCTTCATCAACTACGGTCTGCAGCATGACTGCCTGCCACTGACTTGTGTATGTGGTGCTGCAATGACAATGGACAATGCGATGATGTGTCCGGCAGGAGGCTACCCCATGGCACGCCACAACGAGATCCGAGATTTTGTTGGCTGACGTGATGCGTGAGGCAGTCAGGGATGTTGAGGTAGAACTGCCTCTACTGCCATATGATGGTGAGCGGCTCCAAGGCAGGACAGCCAACCACTCGGCAGGTGTCAGCCTGGACATCTGGGCTTGTGGCTTCTGGACGAGACAACAAGATGCTTTTTTGATATCCGGGTGACACACCCAAAGGCAAGCTTGCTGTCGCATCGGGAAGTCATCAGCCAGCTGCGAACCCATGAACAGATGAAGAAGCGCCAATACAGCGAGTGGGTGACAGCAGTGGACAGAGGTACATTTACACCTCTAGTTTTCTCCACCTAGGGCATGATTGGCAGAGAGTGTTCAATGGCCCTGAAGACACTAGCATGCCTGATTGCGGGAAAAAAAGTTTACCTTCATCTATCGGTCATCATGGGTTACCATCGCTGCAGGCTGTCATTCTGCCTTATGCGATGGGCAGTCATCTGTTTGGGTGGTTCGAGATTCACCTTTGGATGTTCATCATGCAAAGGTCATTCTACAGAAGTATATTACCCTCAGCTGTACTTCTAAGGAAGTAGTCTGTACGTAATGTTCACGGAAGTGTTGGGCACCTCCTCCCGTACATTGTACATTTCCCAAGCTGGCCTGCATGCACCCTGAACTACGTCATACTCACCTTTCGGTCCGTTGGCCTGGGTAGTTACTTGCACGCCGATATTTTCCTCAGCTACCCAGGCCCTTTATCCTGCATCATTTCTCAATCGATCTATCCCTCTCTCTCTTTCTCTCTCTCTCTCTCTCTCTCTCTCTATCTCTCTATCTCTCTATCTCTCTATCTCTCTATCTCTCTATCTCTCTATCTCTCTCTCTCTATCTATCTATCTATCTATCTATCTATCTATCTATCTATCTATCTCTCTCAATCTCTCTCTCTCTCTCTCTCTCTCTCTCTCTCTCTCTCTCTCTCTCTCTCTCTCTCTCTCTCTCTCTCTCTCTCTCTCTCTCTCTCTCTCTCTCTCTCTCTCTCTCTCTCTCTCTCTCTCTCTCTCTCTCTCTCTCTCTCTCTCTCTCTCTCTCTCTCTCTCTCTCTCTCTCTCTCTCTCTCTCTCTCTCTCTCTCTCTCTCTCTCTCTCTCTCTCTGTATTCCATAATGTAGTGGTTGTAGTTCGTCTTTCTCTCCGCCCTTATTGTAAATGTCCTTCCACCTCCCTGTGCCCGTTGTCCGTTGTCTCTTGGGTACCACCCTTTCCGTATTTCAACAATGGGGCCCCACTTTCCACTCAACCCACGACCCTGGACTCATCGGCCCAGGCGTCCTCTACCGCCATTCGTCTCGTAATCAGTTATTCTCGTCTCGTCTTCAACCTCGTCTCGTGTGTTTCAACCTCGTCTCGTCCACGTCATCCAGGTCAGCTGTTTCATTATTTCTCTCTTTCTTTTTCTCATTCGTCCCTTCTTCGTCAATTTTGTTTTTGTTTGATATGTTTTGTGATTCCTTTATTGTAGTGTGTGTGCGCGAATTTCCTTCATAAATATTAGGGGTCCGATGGTGAGCCACATTCTATTATTCATGATGCATTGTTAGCAGAAGTGTGACTATGCTGTTTAGCCGTGCTAGGTTGTGTGATGCATAAAATCACGCGAACCGTGAAATTTATTTAATACATTTCACGGTTCGCGTGAGACTCGGCTGGAAGCCCAGTTTTCCGCATCCGTCATGGGAACGCCACCACCCTCTAGGATCAAAGGCGCAGATGTAGCGCCTAAACAGTGGGAGGTGAGTAGATCAGAAGAACTTGTGGCCTGGCACGAGGGTAACATGGATGCAGCTAATGGGATTTCTGTTTAGCCGTGTTTTGTTTTAGTTTTCTTCTTCCTCAGTCATTATTTCTCAAATTTTCTCATGGCCTTATTATTCTCCACGAGGTGGCGATTCTTATTTTATACTGAGGAGGAATGTTAGGTACCTCCTTCCGTACATTGTACCTTTCCCAAGCTGGCCTGCATTCAGCCCGTACTACTTGATATCATCATCATCTGCCGCTAGGGTTTATCGGGTGTTAGCGGCCGTCTTGAGTTCCCTTCGGGAACGGACACGATAATTTACTTTTGTTTACGTGATATTCACCTTTCATTCCGTTGGCTTGGGTAGTTACTTGCGCATCCATTTGCCATAGCTACCTAGGCCCTTTATCTTGCATTCTCTCTCAATAGATAGCTATCGCTATCTCTCTCTCTCTCCCCCCCCCCCCCTCTCTCTCTCTCTCTCTCTCTCTTTCTCTCTCTTTCTCTCTCTCTCTCCCTCTCTCTCTCTCTCTCTTCCATAATGTATTGGTCTGTATTTCAACAGAAGCATGAAACTGGAGTTGCAGATACGCAAACTTGTCCCGCCTGATCTATAACCAAGAGTACATAATCCCCAAGAGTGTGCAACTCGACTATGGGTGCTAGCCCGACAGAATTTCAAGTTGGCATCATTTTTATGATGTAATGCGCACTATACACAGATTATCAGACGAATCCGGAACCCGTGAGCGTGCGTGGTGGACCAAGCCCATCTGATCCTGTACAACGATTGCAAAGAAAAACTTGAGATGCGCTGACACCCGTACGCATGTTGTAAATCACAGGTGCAACGAGCATTGCATCATAAATAATGACGTCAACTTGAAATTCTGTCGCAACAGCAGGGTATGTGGGATTTGTACACTCTTGGGTGGGGGGGGGGGGGGGGGTATGTACTCTTGCTGTAACTTATCCCTTGGTTATCCGCACCCCGAAGTTTACGCAAGTCAGTCTACCGGGCAACCTTGGGCCGAATCTCAGTGGAAATACTATTACTCTTTCGTCACTTTCTGTAAAAACAAACAGCAACGACACACACGGCGCCTAAGGCTTCTCCACATCAAGATATATGTGATTAGTAGTATCAGACATTTCAAAGTGATGGGCACTTTGGGTCCGGATAACCGAGGTGAGAGCTCATTACATATTCTGGTCACTTACTTTGCTGGGGAAGTAAAGTGACGATGAAAGAAACGCATGGTCTATCAAGTCCCTCTTTCGCGTCGCGACCCCTTCTTCTATTTCCACATCTGGGGTAACGTATCCGCAGTCTGCCGCCAAGTTAAAGGTTTCGTTGTAGTCACTAACAGCGACGTCTGGTATTGTGGGCCGAAAGTTTTGAGTAGCCGCTTTCAGTGGAATAAAATCTTGAAAGAGCACTGTGAAGTGTGATGGCGTTGCCAGTGCCGATGGGCTGACGGGTTTGTGGGAAACAAGGAAAAAGTCCCAACGCGGACTGGAAGCAAACAAAGCAAAGTGCAAATAGATATTTTCACTCACATAGCAACCGGGTTGTACATGGGGTAGTGGTCTACCAGAATGTACTCAACTCCACGCTCTACGAGGAATACAGAACCACGATGGCAGGTGGGGGAGAGTTGCGCAGTGGAAGAGCAGCAGAGCACGACAGAAAAATGGTGAGTGAAAAATACGTTTTTTACACTCTTTCGCTACGCTCAGCCGTGAAAAAACAACACTTTTTTAACGTGCAGCACGGTGAACACTGTAAAAGAAAATCTAGTTTTATGCATGCTCAACTTTGCCCACCCACCCTGTTAACCACCCACCCGGCCAGCCACTCACGCCCCTCCCCCCCCCCCCCCCCCCAAAAAAAACACCCTGCTTACCACCCAAGCACCCACCTACTGAACTGCGAACCAACCCACACGACCAGCGCCCAACCAAAAACCCAGCAAGCCGCGCACCAACCAAAACCAATACACTCGACCACCCACACACACACACCCTGCCACCGACACACCCACACACCCACCCTGCCACAAAATCCCAGCCACCTGCCTGCAATCCATCCATTGCTGTGACTGAGTGCTCCGCAGTCTGTCGGTGTGACGTCACTGTTAATTTGTTAGGAAGCAGCTGGTAGTATCGTCACGCGTATATTTTCTTCTGTGTTTTTCTCAACATAAGCACATTTCGCCAGTCAGCCAATTTGCCAAACAGTGCGAAACAGGCATCAGTGAATGGTTTCTGGCTTCCTTCATTTCCCTGCTACCATGAATCACTATGGATTGTGCACTAACGTGCTGAATCGTACGATAAGAATTGGTTGCTCTGTGCTTTGGAAATGGCGTGTCCACCCAACTTGATTTTCTGTATAATTTGTGGCGGTTTATCCATTTGTACAATGAAGATTCCTAAACTGCTCTTTGTTTCCACTACTTCATCCTGCATGAATAGATTTTTCACATGTGATTGCGCTTCTGAAATTGGTTTCTACCACACATCTGTTTAATCTACCTCAGGCGGCCTAGTACTGTATCATAAGTTTAGTGGCTGTAGTGCTGGACCGTGACTCAGAATTCTAACTCACAATATACATTCCGGCAGTTCTTCATGAACCTGCACCGCAAACAGCCACAACTGGCGTTGCGCAATATCCGACCTGCATACAGTCACTAAGACTAGCCAAAAGTACTATCCTGGCGGGCAGGCCTGACTGTGACAGGGTTGAAGCTCATCAGCTCACACGTCCTCTTCCTTCCTCAATCTTTACCCTCCTGTCGGCTGCTACTTGCACAAAGAGGGGCACTTGAGGGCAATCCTTCTCGTCAGATTTTTGCACGCTGCTAACTCTAGATAAGTGGAACACAGTAGCGGCTTGAGCTTGTCATGGTAAGGATTGGCCACAACTATAGTTTCCTTCTATAGAAACTTCCATGCGGGGCGTTCTCGCGAGACAAAAAACACAAAATGCATTTAATAATGCTCTCGCAATGCGGCCGATCCGAAATACCGCAAATATAAGGGGCCTACTTCTAACGACCAACTGGCTTTAAGGCGAGACAACAAAAAATAGAGATTCCCGGGCCCTCCCACACCAAAATCGAGCCAAAGCCAATTTCCTTTTTTTTTAAACAGTTCATACATGTACAGTACTGATCGTGTCATGTAGATCTGTGACGTGGAGTCACACAAACCGGAGCTTGTACGACTCCCTGATGTACAGATCAGGGCCATTTTTGGCCGAAATATAGAAAAATTGAACGGATAAACCGCGTACCTGTTGTCCGAAAATAAATGAATACAAATTACCGGAAAATGCTGTAAAAAAAGTTCAACATGGCATGCACACATGCATGTACATGTACCGTATACATACATGGGAAAAAAATAAAAAATAAAATTCGCCCGCCCGCACCAATTTCACATGGGTCCTGCCCGGGAATCTCGATTCTATTTTGGTCTCGCCTAATGACTAGGGTCCAGCGGATAATGCTCCGAACATGTTCGTATAATGCTAACCATAATGCTCCAAAAACTGCCTTATAATGCTGATTATAATGCTTCAACAAGGGATATAATGCTCTTGGTTTGGAACAAAAATGGAAGAAAGTCTGCACATTGTCAAACTTCCAGGAAATTTGGGATAAATTATGATAGTCAGTATCCGGTGTGTGCATGTGCTCAGTTGTTGAGTTGAGTGACGGTTGGGGATTTTTTTCCTCCGTCTTCTGCAAGTAGATTTCAGCCACGGGCTGGCTTCTGGCCAAGGCCAGAGCCAGCCCTGGTGACAGGAGCATTAGATAGGTTGCGCTGAACAAGACGACGTACATCTTGTCGTCGCGGGCGAGGAAATAAATCAGTGTCGACACCATGGTCACTTCCGATGTGACCACTCGTACTGAACCTCGTCCGCCTGAGCGCGGAGGCTCTGCAAACCCCCGCTTAGAGTTCGGCTCGCAACGTGCACCAGCAGCAAGGAGATTTGTGTTGTCCATGGGGACGTGGAACGTCAGAACTTTGGTGAACGTGGACGGCGATTTGAACACTGCCTCAAAAAATATCAAAAATTCAAAAAGACAACTCCCGGGCCGCGAGGAGAGAAAAATCGATCTTGTTTGCCGGCAGCTGCAGCGCTACAGTATGGACGTCGTTGGACTTCAGGAGACCCTCTGGTTTGGAACTAATTCCTACCAAGTCGACGACTGTCTCGTCTTGGCGAGTGGCCGTCCGACTCCGTCTGATGGGGAGTCGGCGCGGCGGGGTGAAGGAGTTGCAATTGTCTTGCGCGGTCGTTGCAGGGACGCATTTGTTCGCGGTGGCTCGCAGTGGAAGGGGCACAGCTCGAGATTGGTTTCCGCCAGGGTCAAGTTCGAGTGTGGACGGAACCGTTCGCCGTTGTGTATTCACATCGCCGTCGGATATGCACCGACGTTCGCCAGACCGCGCGCTGAAAAAACTGCGTTTTATGACAGCTTGCAGACCTTCATTGACAGCGTTCCAAAGTCAGACCAGTATTGCCTTCTTGGTGACTTCAATGCTAGAGTTGGAGTTGGCGAGGTGGATGATGAGTGGAGTGACGTGCGGGGGCAGCATGGTTTTGGTCGTATGAACTCAGCAGGAGAGGAGCTGCTCAATTTCTTGGCACGAAATGGAGCTGTTGTATGCAACACATTATTCAAGAAGAAGGAAATCCATAAACATACCTGGTTTCATCCACGCTACAAGCACCCGCACTGTATTGATTATTGCATCATATCACAAGCACATCGGTCGCAGTGTTTGGACTGCCAAGTAACACGTAATGCGGAATGCGACACTGACCATAAGTTTCTAGGCATGAAATATCGTCTAGGTGCCTTGCCCAGTTCACATGTCTCCCGCAATGGTGTTGGGCGATCGAAACCCATTGCTGTGTCGCGCCTGCGTAGTGGTGCTCCGGAGGATATGGAGGTTGCGCGTGAGAGATTCTCCAAGGGCATGGATGCTGAGCTGGAGAAAGTTTGGACCCCGAATCCGTCCATCGAGGAGTGGTGGAGTACCCTCAGGACGACCACCATCAACGTTGCCAGCGACTGCCTGGGTCGGGAGAGGCGCCGACAGCCAGAATGGTTTACAGACAAGCGCACTGAGATCGAGTCGGTACTCCGTGATCGGGACAGTTGTTACTCAACCTGGATGTCAACGCGGAAGGCCAGTGATCTGGATTTGTACAAGAAATCTCGTAGTGCGGCGCGGTGCACCATGCGGAGGCTGAAGCGAGACTGGCTGCTGAGACAGGCAAAGGATTGTGAATGGTTTGGCTTGACGGCGAAGAGCGGTTGGGAGTGTATCGGTAACATTAAGACCACCTTGGGTGGTATGCGTCCCCGTGCAACAACTGCTATCAGAAACAAGCAAGGAGAGATCTGTGACACGGCAGAGGCCACCGGTGGAAGGTGGCGTGAACATTTCGATGGCCTCCTGAACATTGCCAGTGCTTACGACTTGGAGGTAGTGGATTCGATCGAGCAGCGGCCGGTTATGACGGAGCTTGGTGTCGTGCCTGAGTGTGATGAGATTTGGCGTGCATTGCGAGGGATGAAGTGTGGCAAGGCATGCGGCGGATCCGAGATATCTGTGGAGATGCTGAAGTACGGTGGCCCTACCCTGATTGCGAGGTTGCATGAACTGATACGGGTGGTGTGGGAGACTGGCAGCGTTCCACAGGATTGGTCTGATGCTATACTCGTCCCCATCCCCAAGAAGGGTGACCTGGGGTCTTGCAACAACTGGCGTGGGATATCGTTACTGGATGTGGCTGGAAAGCTAGTTGCTCGCATGATTGCCAATCGTCTGCAGGTTCTCGGAGAAAGGTGCTTGCCTGACTCGCAGTGTGGTTTCCGCAGGGGCCGTGGTTGTTCGGATATGGTGTTTGCTGTGCGGCAGATCCTGGAAAAGTTGCACGAACATGCCACGAAAGGTTTCGCTGTATTTATCGATCTGAAGAAAGCGTACGACTCGGTTCCGCGGAGTGCTATGTGGAGAGTGTTGGCTAGACTTGGCGTCCCAGGGAATCTGATCACCATCATCAGTTCCTTCCATAGCGACATGACTGCCAGTATTCGCGTGGGTGGAGACCTGCTTGCACCGATTCGGGTTGAGATTGGCTTGCGGCAGGGTTGTACTATGGCCCCGGTTTTGTTTAACCTATACATGTGTGCAGTCTTCGAGAGATGGCGTGGCGTGATTGCTGATGATGGTGAGCTGGGGATCCCACTCGTCCAGTTTCGGAGGGAGCGGCTTTTCAACACCAGATTGGCAGAGTATCGCAGAGTTCGGCTGACGGAGTGTCAGTTTGCGGATGATTCAGCCTTGCTCGCAGTTACGCATGCTGGTGCTGAGAGGGCTCTATCCTCGTTCAGGGATGTAGCTGGTGCGTTTGGCCTTAGTGTCAATATGTCCAAGACCAAATTCATGGCGGCTGGGGCTGGTATTGTGGATGCCGACCAGACCCCTTTGGATGGTGTTGTTGACCACGTTGAGGCCTTTCGCTATCTCGGTTGTCATGTTACGCCAGACGCCCGGAGCTCATTTGATGTGTCTCGGCGAGTTGCTGCTGCATCGGGTGCGTTCTGTACACTGCGGGAGTCGGTTTTCGCCAGTGATGACTTCAGCATCGCCATCAAGCGCATCGTGTATGGAGTGACTGTCCTGGCGGTCCTTCTTTATGGATCTGAGAGTTGGACCGTCAGGCAGCGTGATGTCCGTCGCCTGGAGTCCTTTCACCTGCAGTGCGTGCGTTCCATCCTGAAGATAAATCGTGGCCGGCAGATCGAGGAGCACATCTCCTCTCTCCAGGTTCGCAGGATGTGGGGCGATATGGAAGAGATCGCGGATAAAGTCAGAGTCCGCCGACTTCGATGGCTTGGCCATGTGTCCCGCATGCCAGATCGGATCCCTCGTCAGCTGCTGTACGGCGCATTACCCTCCAAACGTCCACCGCATGGACCCCGTAAGCGCTGGAAGGACTCCGCGAAGTGCGACTTGATGGCTGTTGGCGTTCCTCTGGAGCAGCTTGGTGACATCGTCCAAGATCGACAGGGATGGCGAGTCACCTGCCGTGATGCTGTCGACGCAATTGTCCAGGCCCGCATGGAGCCTGTGGCGAAGCCCCTCATCTGTGGCACTTGTGCGCGCAGTTTTCGTCGGCCGCAGGACATTGCGAGGCACAAGTGTAACGCTGTTCGCGCGGCCCGCGCGCGCTGAGTATGGCGTTCCCCGCCCGGTGGACAACACGTCTCCTGGTCTGCCCCGTATGGGGCCACATAGCCAGTCATGGCAGTGGAAGAAGGAAGGAAGGAAGGTGTGCATGTGCTCAGTTCGAGCTTGATTGTTGAGGTGTTGTTTTTGGAAATGGAGCCTCCAGCGAAGAGGCAAATCCACAGGCCCTGCTTCCACCATGTCTACGACATGGAGACGAAAAAGATGACCTGCTCCTGGTGCGCGACGCACTTCCGTGGCAAAGTTGTGACTCGCCTGGTGAGACAGCACCAGGTACATTGTGTACCCGGCTCGGACCCGGTTGAAATGGTTTCGCCAGGTACACGCGTACCTGGCGGTCCTACAATCCTATAGAGCAGACACTGGTTCATGTGAACCATTGAAACATGTAATAATTATCTCTGGAGTTGTTTACTGACACGACTGAATGTAGCATATATTTGATGTTTGTCTTTACACAGTGTGAGTTTTATTTCCTCCTGTCTCACTTCTCTTTCTCTCTTTCCTGCTATCACCCCTTGTGCATAAATTCTTCGCTAAATTTATCACCTTCTAGTAATGGGTACCACCCTAGTGATGCTACTTATCCCAATGATTCATTGGTTCTGGTTGTTTGTACTTCATTTGAATAGAATACCTGAAAACTGATTCATGAATTTCGGAGTCCTTATTCCTGATGATGGTTAAGAATATTAAATTGATACAAGGAAAACGGTGGGGCACAAGTCATGCGTCAGTCCACCAACTGAACCAGGTTTATAACGCATTACTTGTGCCCCACCGTTTTAATTGTTTCATTTAATTTTAGTATTTTCCTCGGCTCACCATCTGAGTAATCATGGTGAAGGATAGCTTGAGATTGGTAAAAACGGTGTAGACGATGTGCAATAAAATGATGAAAATATGAAGAAATGGTGTAGAGAAAAAATATGGGTTCAAACAAGTGTTCGTACAACACTCATCAGGAATCGTTGTTTTCTACATTGCATGAATAAAGTACACAAATGTCTTTTCAGCTCATTTTATTGATTGTGGTTATCAAATTGTTGTCTCCTCGCCGTTTGTTTGAGATGTGTAGTTCATCATTCCTTAATAAGCTTCAACTGCTGTCATTTTACTTGTACACTTTTGGCTGAGTTGTGAGTATACAAACCAGTATCCAGAGTTACTCAGTGCTGGTTTCTGATGATCCCTTACGGCCTGGTCAGACTGCGGCAAAATCTAAATAATCCTGTGATTATAATCCGAATCTCCATAGTAACTTGCCGCCTGAGCGGCAAAATCGAGAGTTGAAGCTCCAAAAAAAAAACAAGAACGGACCACCCTTTTCCGCTCCAAACAGGAGTTTGGCGCTGATATTCACTGATTTTTTTATCTCGATATCGAGGAGCTAATTGGCCACGAACAACAATAAACCTCATAAGGATGGTTGCAAGGATTGCACTGAAGGTGTTGGCGATCCCCAAGGTGAAGGGATTTGGCGTTGTTCGTGGAGACTGCCACTTGACGCTCGAAATGAAAAGTTGAATTTTCATTCTCCCACATGTGTAGTGTGATCGCGATTCTTCTTCTGGACGATTTTATTTTTCGAACATTTGCCGCAGCCAGGTCCTTAACGCATGAAACTCGAAGGGAAAACAAACATTCCACGAATATTTTAAATCACCTCCTTCGCAACTTTCTTACCTGTCGTCGGACTGCGGCCATCTTGTTATGAGTCCGTTGAGATATGTGCCTTGATCCACAGAATACACTTTTCCATCCCGGTTTTGTATGGGTGCTGTCAATTTAAACATGCGCTGACCTATACGCTTCTGAACGACAACAAAAATCAGTTCCACCTTTGTTCGCGGTTTGACCCTGCATAATAAATATGTATGTAGAGTACAGAAAAGACAGGATATTCCCTTTGTAGTTAGTCAAGCGCTGACGCTTGCCTCGGATACAGTCTCTCAACTGTAGGACTACAGTTGTCTCTGTCCTGGCGACTGTCCAAGGCCCCAAATCAGTATTCACCCACTTTTAAAAATATAGTGATGGTTTGTACGTGATTTCATACGTATAGATTGCCTTTGTCTCAGTTCTAGAGAGGTGAGCACTTTTAATAGTACAAGAAGGAATGGTCCACAGATTTCCAAATTCTTCTGCTTCAATACTAAGTGAAGCCTTGCAGAACTGGAATAGGAATGTACATGATTTTCAACCAAATCCCCCCCCCCCCCCCACACACACACCACCGGTGCTCTCTGGCCGAGGCACAACATAACTGGTACATACATACATCGTTATTAGCACTCCGAAGCTACGGACACCTTGGTCTAGCGGGGCACCCTTGGGGAGAGTTTTAGTGGCAATATTACTACCCTGTCGTTAATTTTTGTGTGGAAACAGTGCGCCACTAAAGTGTATGTGGTTGGTAATGACGGACATCTCAAAGTGGAGGCATTGAGTGGTGCAACGCAGATGCTAGGATCCAGTAGGTATTCACAATGCAGTCGCCTCCTCGCCTCCAACAACTAGTTACACGATGTGTGTGAGGGACAAGTCATGAGTCAGTCGTCAGTCGGTAATGAGGTGTGTGCGAGGTGTGACGTTGGATAGTGAGCGTGTATTTTACATAGGATGAAGCGAACTCGATCTACAGCGGACTTCGCAAGTCTTTATGACAGGATCCTGGTGTGCACGAGATGACAACCGTGAGTCAGTCAAGTGTCAAGTTTGGCAGGAAGTGTTTGATCCAGCTCTGCCTCTCGGTATTGAGCACTCTCTTGGACAGCCTGGAAACTCTCTGTTTTACACACAACAATATGTTTATGTATCTATTATTGCACGATTAAAGAGGTCAATATATGAAAAATAGAGCGAGTAAAACACCGAGGTCCCCCGAGGTCTTTTACGAGGTCTATATTTCATTTATTGCCCAATTATGAGGGCAATAATAGATTTATCACGACATGGCATACCTAACGTGTTTTATCTGTGTTTATAGGAAGAAATGAATACTGTTGTAATAGTACATAGTATGCACGTACGTCGTTTACATTGGACATTACTTCTCTATAAACAGAAGTTTTCAGTTGTCACCTGTAGTATGTTTCCCAAGTTCTTTGACTGAGAATCTGACAGTTTGGGTTCAAATCCCAACATTTGGCTCCAGATTTTTCTTCTTTCAGTTCTGATTTTGTCTAATGGGCCATTCACACTACGCCCAAAACGTGGCGTACGTGACGTTTTCGTCCCAATAGCCATGACAACATGGAACGTGGCGGGAAAAATCGAGCGCCTGATACGAAAACGTAGACGACGTATCCAGACCCCAGTACGGACAGTTGTTCTGTCGTTCGCGGCAGTTTGTATCCGAAAAAGGCTGTTGCCTTCACTGGCTTCTGGCGGCCCAGGCACTGGCTCCACGTGGAGAGGTACTACCAAACCGGCGTCCCTGCTTGACTTCAATTCTTGCTTTCACTTCTTGCTTTCCCTTGCTGTCAGCAACTTGTCTTGCATTTTTCTCTTTCTCTTTCAGTTTTGTAAAACGGTCTCTTCATAGTGCCATCATGCCTGCCCGCTTTGATACAAACTCCGAACACCTGTTCATTGAAATTTGGGCAGATTTGATGTCGAGCATGGATAAAACTATGACCACAAGAGCTGCAAAGGAGACCAAGGCAACCCAGCACCTCAACGATCGTCAGAAGGAGAGAATCTTCACAGTGCAGGAGGTTCACAATAAAATAAACAATTTGAAGAAAAAGGGCCGGGAGCTAGAAACAAGAACGGAATGAACATAATGTCGCAGGACATTGGTCCGATCTGACGACGGCGTGATGATTTTTGGTGGAAATGGAAGGGGATCGGCGGCGCGGTGTCAGCTTTTGGAACTTGCTCCTGTTCGATGCTCTGATCTGGTCGCAACTGTCCCAAACCACAAAAGAGCAGAAGTGCCATCAAGGCATGCCCCTTGATGCTGGCAATATCCATATCAAAGAGAAAACCGAGAAGCAAAAGAGAAACTCATTTGTTCACGTTATGATTGTCTGTCTCCTTGCATTCGTTCTGTTGCTCGTTCTGTTGCTCGTTTTGTTGCTCGTTCTGTTGCTCGTTCTGTTGCTCGTTCTGTTGCTCGTTCTGTTGCTCGTTCTGTTGCTCGTTCTGTTGCTCGTTTTGTTCCATGAAAGCTCTTGTCACCACGTGTGCGTTTGTCTTCTTTTGTAGTTTTAGTATCCAAATGTGGCACTGTTTGTTAATATTTGTCTCCTATTGGTCTTTTTGGGCTGGCTGCTACTGGTATTTCATGTATGCACACGTGTACGATTGTACCCGCTGCGTCACTTTTGGTATATCATTGCCGTAGTTCCACTCCGCTTCTGCATTTAGAGTCTTTTCTCTTTCCAAATATCCAGTGGTATCACGCCCTGGCCAGGACCGCACCTCCCGTGAATGCGACTCCCTGGCTGTGTCCACAAAAGCTGTACGTACAGCCATACGAACAGACGGTACGTGCTTGTGTGAATGCACAGGCATGAAAACGACGTCTGCCAGTACGGCGTATTTCAAAACGTGACCCGTTTTGGAACGTAGTATGAACACCCTATAAGTTGAGGAAAAGTTCTTTCTCACTCCACGTACACCGACATAACGACATGGACCCAGACAACAGAAGCAGGAGCACACCGAGTGAGGGTAGTAGGCCGCAGCCAGATGTGACACGGGTGAGACACAAACAAATTACTGAAGGAGTCAGGCAAAAAGAACAGCAACAAAAAGAGAAAATATCAACTTCCATATTCGCAAGAGAAATAATTTTGTAGCGCGAGAAATCATTTCTTCTCGCTCCACATATACTGGCATACACAGACACATAGACAGCAATAGCGACAACAAAGTGAAGGGTAGTTGGCCGCAGCGAGATGTGTCAGATACCGTCACGCAGGGGACCTGTCCGCCTCGGACGTTGGTCAGATGTTGGTCAGTTGGATGGCGAAGACGGCGATTCGGGGGATGCGGGGGAGCCGACGACGATGTGATCGGAGGGGATGTCAAAGGCACTGAGAAAGAAGCATTATGTTCGGGATCCTGACAAAGGATTTCGTTCAAGGAAAATCTTACGGAGATCAAAAAAACCGGTCCACACTGGTGAGACTAAAAACTGACCGAAGAAGTCAGGAAAAGAAGGGACAATAAAGAACACACCAGATGCCATATTTGCAACTGAAAATATTTCGCGAGAAATCATTTCTTGCCTATCTCGCTGCGCTAGGCCGGCGAGAAATACAACTCGCCTCACTCGCTCCGCTCGGCCGGCGATAAATATAACAAAACCTCGGGCTAAGTGGTCAATAATAAGTGGTCTTATTATTGATCTCCACAGAAACTTGTGATCTCTAAGGCCCCTTGCACACTACATAGAAATCCCATTTTTGTTGCATTCCTGTAAAAGTTACCATGCAAACGGTCTGCTTTTCGCGGGAAACCTAAAATGTTGCGCAAACGTATTCAGCAAACTCCAGACGGGTATACAAAGGTACGTTTCAATGATGTTTCATTTGCATTTCTGGACCGTAGTTTGCTTTGCACCTGTCCTTCCGTGAGACTTCTTGAGTCTTGTCGTCAGCTCTTTTTTCCTTTCGATTTGTTCCTTGTTTTGAGTAGTTGCACGTTGTTTGTTTCCTTCTGTCGCGTTGAAGCTAGTTTGAGAAGATGAAGTTCAGCATGCCGAAAGTTGTGTTCAATGATGAGATGGAGGGAAAGTTGATCGAGCTGTGGGCACACTACCAGCTGGAGAAAAGTGGAACGATGGAGAAGAGGTCACAGAAGGAGAAAGAGATTTCTGAAGACCTCAATCTGTATGCTAGGAGTGTTGGCCTGGACATGGCATTCGATGGGAAGTCGCAGATCCATGTCGAAGTGATAGCATTTCACCAACACTCGACAAACATTTCTGCAGACCAAGCTCGGAGAGAAAAGTTTAAAAAATTTTAAAATCTCCCGCACTATCTCCATGCAGCACCGCGGTGAGGCGGCAGTTGCCATAGAAAATTTTATGAGTATTTTATTAAAACGAAAATGTCTTTTCAAGTGTGCAATGGAACTGATCGGGACTTGCTTGAAAGTGACCCATACGCTGTAAAGCAACTTTTTACTTGTACGTAGTGTGCAAGGGGCCTAAGCGGTCAAATATCAGCATAATTATATTGACCGCTTATATTGACCACTTATTATTGACCACTTAGGCCGAGGACTTAGAACTTTTTCCTCAACTTAGAAAAAAAAATCAGAACTGAAAGGAGAAAAATCTGAAGCCAAATGTTGGGATTTGAACCCAAACTGTCAGGTTCTCAGCCAAAGAACTTGGGGAACATACTACAATTGACAAGTGACAACTTCTGTTTATGCAGAAGTAATGTCCACTGTAAACGGCATACTTTGTACTATTACAATAGTATTCCTTTCTTCCTATAAACACAGATAAAACAGGTTAGATATGCCATGTCGTAATAAATCTATCATTCCCCTCATAATCGGTCAATATATGAAATATAGACCTCGGTCTTTTACTCGTTCTATATTTCATATATTGACCTCTTTAATCGTGCAATAATAGATACATAATATCTGAGGAGCTCCAACAGAGCAAAACAGTTGCTGTCCACAGATTTGGATACATAATAATGTAATCATTATGTAATTACTCAATCTGCGGACAGCATGCTGTTTTGTTCTTTGTGAACTTATCAGCGCAGCACAGAGGAATATAATATATACAAGCA